ACTGTTACCTAGTTCAAGATAAGGCCAGGCCAAGGTGCAAATATTACAAGGGAAATTACAATGGGATGAGGGAAGAGATGAGGGGTATCAACTGGCCTGACTTATTAAGGCACAAGAACGCAGACACTACGCTGAATATCATAACTAGTAAAATGACCCATTTGATCGATAAATATATACCCAAGACCAAACCCAGTGCTTCTAGGAATACGAGGGGATCCCTACACATGAACCATGCGGCGGTCGACAAAATTAAGAAGAAACCCAGAAATTCAAGACGTGGGTTGGGTCAAACGATGAGCAAGACAGGAGGATGTATGCAAGAGCCAGAAACCAAGCAAAGATAGAGTGTAGGAGGGCTGAAAAGGAGTTCCAGAGGCTGGTTGCACGCGAGGTCAAGTCAAACCCAAAGGCATTTTACCGCTATGCAAAGTCGAAATTGAAAACGCGAGTAGGAGTATCAGACCTGAGGCTTGAAGATGGTAGTTACGCAGATTCTGACCAGGATAAAGCTGAGGCATTGAACAGCTTCTTTTCCTCAGTGTTCACAAGAGAGGATGCAACTAACCTTCCTGCGTTTGAGGACAGACGGTTCGACACAGCACTGACCTACATTGTGTTCACAGAAGAGGGTATTAGAAATAAACTGTCCAGGCTAAAGGTCCATAAGAGTCCTGGACCTGACATGGTGCATACTAGAGTGCTAAGGGAGCTGTGCAACGAGCTTGCAGAGCCCCTGAAGATTCTGTTTTGTAAATGCCTGGATGAACAAATGGTCCCCAGTGAATGGAAAGTGGCTTATGTGAGTCCTATCTTCAAGAAGGGCGATAGGCACTCCACGAACAACTATAGACCGGTGAGCCTGACCAGCATAATATGTAAAGTACTTGAGAGTATTATCAGAGATGCAGCGATGGAACATCTACTACGAAACAACCTTGTAAAAGATTGCCAACACGGTTTTATGCCGGGGCGCTCTTGCTTGACACAATTGCTCAAGGTATTTGATATTTGGACCCATATTCTAGAACGGGGTGGTAATATCGACAATATTTACCTAGATTTTGCCAAGGCTTTCGACAGTGTACCCCACGAAAGGCTGAAAATCAAACTGGAAGGGTACGGAATTCGGGGAAATGTCCTAGCGTGGATAGAAGACTTTCTACATGACCGCAAGCAATGTGTGGTGATTAATGGCACGAAATCGTCATCTGTACCTGTAACAAGTGGGATACCGCAGGGTAGTGTATTGGGCCCGCTGTTGTTTGTTTGTTTCATAAATGATATGCCTGACGTTGTACACTCCTCCATACAAATGTTTGCCGATGACGCCAAGTTATTTCGGGAAATTAAGAACCAAGCCGACTGTGAAGAGCTGCAGAAGGACCTCTGTGGGCTCCAGGAATGGTCGAAGGAATGGCTGCTGAGATTCAATGTCACGAAGTGTAAGAGGATGCACCTGGGGCATACCAACGGTAAGGAGGCGTACCATATGTCCCAACGGGATGAAGAAAATGTACTAGTTGAGACTGTGTGTGAGAAGGACCTAGGTGTGTATGTTGACAATGAGCTGAAGTTCTCGGGCCATTGTGAGAAGAAGGTAAATCAGGCAAATAAATTAGTGGGTCTTATAAGAAGGTCGTTCAGATATTATACTGTCACCCCATCTGGTCCCCGAGATATGCTAGGGACTGTCAGTTGGTTGAAAATGTTCAAAGGAGGGCCACCAAACTGGTGCCTGCACTTCGGCATCTCAGCTACCCTGAGAGATTGGAGCGCCTGAACTTGCCTAGCTTATACTACAGACTGGCAAGGGGGGACCTAGTTGAGGTTTATAAGCATCTCAGGGGGCACTACTCAGTTGAGTGTCCTTACTTGGAGCTGGCGGACGCTCGCCCCACAAGGGGTCACAGCTCAAGATTGAAGAAGCCGCAAGTCCAGAAAACCGTGAGGGCAAACTTTTTCGGAGTGAGGGTTGTAAACTCTTGGAACAATCTACCAGAGAGTGTTGTGACGGCACCGAGTGTGAGCTCTTTCAAGAGAAGACTTGACCAACACTGGAGCGGTTCAGGTACATTCAGGAGCCGGTGCATGCCCAGTATTTGCCAACAGTGCGTGACAGAGACGTGACCGATCGCCCGGGCGGCTAGCGAGCCGACCTTTTGGTGAAGAATATAAAGGAAAAGAGACGTGACCGATCGCCCAAGCGGCTAACAAGCCGATCAGTGGCGAAGAGGATAAAAGTAAAAAGTAAAAGTTCTCCATAAGCCCTGTTATTTCTATTACACGAATTTCTATAACACGATGTTTTACAAGAACACTACTATCGCTTTATAGCAGAACTACCTGTATACCAAAATCACTATCACTATCACCAAGCATTCCTAGGATGTCCACGTGAGCACTGTCATCACTAAACACACGTTCAGGAATAATGTGCTCCTGAACCTATACCAGAAGGCCTGGCCTCACTCAACTCTTGCTCCAATATCGGGCAGATATTGCACAGCATTTTACACACCCGTGGATGAACAACATCATTGTTACGCCGAAAAGTTATCAAAAATAGCCATAGAAAGTATACTGAACCTCCTTATGCTATACAATGCACCAAAACTAACAAGGAGGCAGCATCTGGGCGCGCGGATTGGCCGAGGAGCTGTGACATAGCAAGGGGAAATCCATTGTGATTGGCTACCTCAGGGGTATGGTCCGAGGGAGGCGCGCTGTCATTGGCTCGCGCTCCTCTCGCTCTGAACGGGAAGTTGCCACCTTCTTTGACTGAGCGCACAGCCAGATACGTAGCTCCAGGCCTGAGGCAAAATCACGCCTAATTTTGAAGGACTTTCTACCATATTTCTATTCTAGCTAGAGCGTTACATCCAACGGGTGAAAATAGTGATATCCATCAAAAAACGCATTTTGGCCAGAGTGTCACTTCACCCCCCTCTAATGCTGAGTGCCTCAATTCTAGTGGGTTATGAGAAACATAACATCAATTCTAGTGTGTGATGAGAAACATATTTCTAGTGGGTGATAAGAAACACTACTTCAATTCTAGTGGGTGATGAGAAACATAGTTCTAGTGGGTGATGAGAAACACTACATTAGTTCTAGTGGGTGATGAGAAATACCATCAACAAGGCAGAGTGAAGCCATGTGTCATCTTCATAGACTTCTGTGTAATTTTTATCCTAACCTAACATAACTTTAACCAAACCTAGCATAACGTAACTTAAGATAGCATAGTCTAACTTAAGATGACCTGACCTAACACAACTTAACCCAGCTCAGTAATGCAGTGTTTCTCATCATCCAACTCATGTTTTTCATCACCCAGGTCAGTAAAGTTTCTCATCACCCAGTTCTCTAATGCAATGTTTGTGTTCATGTTTTACTAGAGCTGTAAAAATACCCAAAATAACAATGCTGCACTATACAGTTCAATACTATGCTTTGTCAGGTAATGGAAGCTGTGTGTGTAATGCTGGACCTCAAGCCAGAGAGGAAGCCAGACCCTAATGGCTCAGGAAAAATGATTGAGGACTATTGGGCACCATCTCAGAAGCTGTTGGGGGATATGAAGTTCCTCCAGAACCTGCTGCACTATGACAAAGAAAACATTCCCACAAAGATTATCACTCACGTCCGCAACGAGTAAGTTCAAACATTATTTCCGTGATATGGTATTCATTAGGTAATTCATCTTTGCCATTAAGTATGACCAAGACAGAGGCTATCAGAGTGGTGTCGAGACAGACAGACCGATATGAATAAACTCATACTATTGAACAAATAAAATGCTGTAAAAAATTATCAACATTACTACTGTCTCAGTACTGTACTAACATGTAGCTACCTGATGCTTGCACTCAAGAGTGTGCATGGTTATTCAGGACGGATTACATCTTGGAAAATTTTCTTGTTATACCAGTATATTTTCCTTCACCCAATGAAAATGTAAAATAACAGTTGAAAATCTTGGTTGCTGGAACAGTGCTGTTGAATATGGACGCCTTGAGAATGACACACACAGTAATAACTGTGTAAGTCACACTACCTACTGTCACATTTAGAAATGACTGTTCTTCCACTTTAACCCTGAAACCTATTATAAACTCACAAAAAGTAAAGGAAATAAATGTTGAGACATTTTAAAATGTACTTATCCATTAATTTACTTATTCATGCATATGTATCTTATGCTCAGGTAAATACATACTATTGTTTCACAAGAAATCACAAAAAAATAAAATCCCTCTTTTATCTTTAAAGAAGACTTGAGTGACACATAAAACTGTGTGAGTACTGAAGTGGATGACTTAGGGACTTTCTACTTCCTGCCAGGTTCTACTCTCACCCGGATTTTGACCCAAAGAAGATACGTATGGTATCAATGGCTTGTGAGGGCCTCTGCCGATGGGTGAGGGCCATGGTTGTCTATGATCAAGTCATAAAGATTGTCGCCCCCAAGAAACAAGCTTTGGAGGCTGCCAACCATGAACTGGCCCCCCAGAATGAAAGGCTAGAGGAAAAGAGGAAGGAACTCAGAGAGGTAATGTGTGAACCGAGAAAGATGTGTGAAATAAAAGACATTGCATGTAGAACCATTTCAACATATAGAATTACTGTATGGTAGACTTAGTCATCATTATATTATGAAGACTACTATTCCTTCTACAGTATATGTTCATCTACCTGCAATATGTGCATGAGTCTGCTCAGGTGTTGTGAAACAAAAGTTTTTTAGTTAACCCTTTACTTGTCATATTCCTAGATCCATGTACGTGAGTGACCATCTCTGAGCAGTCCATTACGTAGATCAATGAATTTGACTTTTTAAATTTCCCACAGCATCTGAAATGGTCCAGAAGGATTAATATATTTAAAATATGGCACATGGTAACCTCTCAAGACACATTAGCCTGTATCAGCAACCTCTGTCCCTCCAAAATGCTTTGTTTACTAACCCTACCACCACTACATCCATCCAGTCCCTCCCCAAGTTTGCTGCCCACATCACAGGCTAACAAATATGCCCAGAGACTTTCTCACGTATGCAAGAACACAGTGTTACTTGAAAAAGTGCACACAGATGCTAGGTATTGCAGCAGTGAGTGTGATCTGGTAGAATGTTCCAAGAGTTCACAACTCTCACTCCGAAAAAGTTTGCCCTCACAGTTTTCTGGACTTGCGGCTTCTTCAGTCTTGAGCTGTGACCCCTTGTTAGGCGAGCGTCTGCCAGCTCCAAGTAAGAACACTCGACTGAGTAGTACCCCTTGAGATGCTTATACTACACCTCAATTAGGTCACCCCTTACCCGTCTGTAGTACAGGTTGTACCTCTCTAGTCCGGCATTCTGTGGTCCAGAAACTCCCGTGGTCCGGAACGATTTTAGTTTGTCCAATAGGTAGATAGGCAGCTTTCTTTTTTTTTTTTCTTTTTCTTTTTTATCTGAATTATTATTATTACAGGAGTATTAAATTTTTGCCCCTCAGGCCCCAATGTGGGTCAGTGACTTATGCACAGGTGGGCTAATCTCCTTAAAAAAAAAAAACAAAGCCACGGGAAATTAAGGTTTGTTTACATCTGGCTGCTCTCTCTCTCTGTCTGCTTGTCTATACAGAGGACAACATTTAACCCTTCAATATATATGAGCAGTAAATAAGTGTTGCTTTCATATTCTTATGTAGAGTAATGAGATATGTTTTCACATGTGCGCACTTACATGCGCGCAGTCTCACTTTTTTTTTACCATTAATGGTTAGCTACTTATATTGTTCCATTTATTAACATTAAATAACATTACAGGTACTTCAAACAACCATATTAATTTTTTTACATTCATTTTACTACAGCTAAACTCAGGGTCTTATTTTCTTCAGTTTTATATGTAGAACCAATCAGTCACTGGTTTTGTAAGCTGTAACATAAACAATGCCGGCAGCCGTCTCGTCTCCTCTAATATTCCACGTATTATTAACAAATTGAATTGTTAATTTTGCACACACAAACATTACCGTATATCACGGCCTATAAGACGAAATTTGAACATTAAAAAAATCTGCCCAAAGTTAGGGGGTCGTCTAAACCACCAAGTTTAAAATTCTTACCTCTTAAATATTGTGGTTTAGTGTGTCAAGAGTGGTGATGAAAACATCGTAAGCCACTCACAAGGTCTTACCACTAATTATTTTATACTGAAACTTACGTTTGGCAAGCTGGATTCAAATTAAGATTACCGGTATATTAAAATAATAAAAATGTATTATAAACCTGTCTAACATACCGTAAAAGAGATTTATACCCCTATAATAAACACAGCTATCATCACACACCCCTCCCCACGCCCCCCCCCCCATTTGCCAGTGAGGAGCCGTGGAGGTGGTCAGTAATGCATACCGGTATCGGTATATTTACTCATAATAATATTTATCTCCTATAAATAATTGATTTAAATTTTATTTTTTTCCAAAGAATATTCAGTAAATGAGTGCATTAATTCTTGAAACTATCGACGGTTAATTACAGACGCTCAAGTGACGTCACTAGTGTTTACACTACACCAGCTGGTAATATTTGATGCCATTACTTGAAGTGAATTGGCCTTATTTTAAGTAACTAACTATAAATAAATACAAAAATTAAAAAAAAAGATCAAAACTGAGAAATAATATACTGTATGTATGTTGTGTTGTCAAAGTAAGAGGAACAATTGTGTAAGTACGTAATATTTTTTCACTCAAATCCTAATGAAACACTACTGGAGAACATTCCTTTGTCGCAAAACAGTTTATAAATTAAAGAAAATAATTACAGTGTGTTTAATATATTACAGTATATTATAAATAAATAAATAAAACAAATAATTCGGTAAATCTATTTAAAGTAAATGGAAAATAAGCAAACATGTTATTTACCAAGACCCTTCCGTCTGGCTCAGGGTGAGATGGAGGGGAGATAAAGAAGGCTATTTATAGCCCATCAGAAGTGACCAGTACCCTAATGCACCATAAATAATTCATTGAACATTCATTTTTTGTACATAGTATATTCAGTATATATATATATATATATATATATATATATATATATATATATATATATATATATATATATATATATATATATATATATATATATATATATATATATATATATACAGTATTACCCCGCTTAACGCGCTTTCACTTAACGCGTTTTCGCATATACGCGGTGCCTTGCCAAAGCTGAACTTTCACTTAACGCGGATTTTTCCACAGCAACGCGGTGAGTGTCCGGCTCGAGAGCTATTTTTAGATTCGCACCACCCCCCACCCGCCACCCTGCCTGACTGCCTGTTTTAGCTCATAAAATTCATACAAATTACCCAGCCAGAATATAGTTTACATTGCTGGAATTCTTATAATTTGGTGATCATTTTGAATATAAACAACATATTTTTTGCATTAAACATACAATTTTTAGATAAAATGTTTAATCTGAGTAAGTATGTTATCTTTTGTCCAAAATATATGACATTTATATTCAAAATATTCCTGGTCTTACAAGGAATCCAGCAATGTCAATTATATTATCCTAACTTTAGTTTGAGGTATTATTTATTAAAATTTAGTGGTTATCCCACACATCTCCTTGGGACGGTTGGTGGGGGGTGGGGGGGAGGGAGGGACCAACCGACCGACCATCTGTTACCCGGTGAAGAATTATTTTTTTTTTTTTTAACTGAAGATATTTGTTTTAGCTCATAAAATTCATACAAATTACCCGGTCAGAATATAATTTACATTGCTGGAATTCTTATAATTTGGTGATCATTTTGAATATAAACAACATATTTTTTGCATTAAACATACAATTTTTAGATAAAATGTTTAATCTGAGTAAGTATGTTATCTTTTGTCCAAAATATATGACATTTATATTCAAAATATTCCTGGTCTTACAAGGAATCCAGCAATGTCAATTATATTATCCTAACTTTAATCTGAGGTATTATTTAATACTAAATGTTAAAAACTCTTGAATGGAGGATTGGTGGGGGGTGGGGGGAGGGTTGGGACTGACCGCGCGGTTGGAAGAGGGGGGGAGGCAAGGTGGGGTACTTTGATTGACAGATAGTGTTGAAGAATATATTTTTTTTTTATTAACTGTAGATATTTGTTTTAGCTCATAAAATTCATACAAATTATCCGGCCAGAATATAATTTACATTGCTGGAATTCTTATAATTTGGTGATCATTTTGAATATAAACAACATATTTTTTGCATTAAACATACAATTTTTAGATAAAATGTTTAATCTGAGTAAGTATGTCATCTTTTGTGAAAAATATATGACATTTATATTCAAAATATTCCTGGTCTTACAAGGAATCCAACAATGTCAATTATATTTTCCTAACTTTAGTTTGAGGTTATCCCACACATCTCCTTGGGACGGTTGGTGGGGGGTGGGGGGGGGGAGGGAGAGACCGACCGACCATCTGTTAGCTGGCTGTGTACTGTAGTGTGAGAGGGGGAGGGAGTTGAGTCCATTATTTGAATGGACATTAACTTGGCGACTGTATTTCTCTTAAGTATTAATTGTGTGCATGTACCATCATAAAATTAAGATGTTATTTTTACTACAACATAGTTATTTGTCGTCAAAAAGTGGAGTTTGGGGGTCGGGCTGGGTTCTATTGGAATTAATCCCATATGTTCTGTTATTCACTTAACGCGGTTTTCACTTAACGCGGGACCCTCTGGGTTCAATTGACCGCGTTAAGTGGGGTACAACTGTATATATATATATATATATATATATATATATATATATATATATATATATATATATATATATATATATATATATATATATATATATATATATATATATATATATATATATATATATATATATATATTTGTGTAATAAATGTATGTAGTAAGTACATACTGGTAACCTTTTTCACTCAAATCCTAATGAAACACCACAATTAGAATACGTTGGTTGCTGTTGAACCACATGTTGTATAAATAGTCACACCACCGAGACGAGGGAACACTCCCAACACGCTTCAGTGACGTCACTAGTGTTTACACTACACCAGCGGGTATAATTTGATGACATTACTTGAAGTGAATTGGCCTTATTTAAAAAAATCAAGGATGGTTGGTAAAGGACTACTGAGTCAGTGGGTAAGTGTCACATTTGGGGTACTGGTCTTATACAGCAAATAGAGCTCAAAAGCTACTTTTTAAATGGAAATTTGGGGGGGGCGTCTTATGCACCCCGCCGCCTTATAGGCCGTGATATACGGTAATTCAATAAAAGCAAATTCAGAAACATTAATTAAAATATATATGAACAGTAAATAAGTGTTGCTTTCATATTCTTATGTAAAGTAATGACGATATGTTTTCACGTGTGCGCATGCGCACCTACATACGCGATCTCTCTTTTTTCCTTACCATTATCGTTAGCTACTTCTATTGTTCCATTTATTAACATTAAATAACATTACTTAAAACAACCATATTAATTTTACTACAGGTACAACCAAAGTCTTATTTTCTTCAGTTTTATATGTAGAACCAGTCAGTCACTGGTTTTGTAATCAACGAAAACAATGCTGTGTCATTTCCTCATGTGTTTTAATATTCTACATATTATTAATGAATTGTATTGCTCAATTTGCACACGTAACATTAATTCAATAAAAAAGACATTCAGTCATGAACAATAATGAATCTTTTGTACATAAGAGGAATGACGCTGTTTACACGATTATGCACATCGTCTGCACGTTGGCAGGCCGTTCAAACCCGTCGAAATTCAAGTTTCCGCCGTCAAAATTTTTATTTATTTATTTTTTTGTGTGTTCCAATAAAATACGTTAAGAATTAAAAACTCGCGAAATTTGAGAAGCTACTATACGATATTTAACCCTTCAATATGTCTTCAAAGAGACCATGATGCAGAGAAAGTGGTACTAGTGCTTCCAAGCATAAGCACAAGTCACTATCTATGCAGGAAAAGGGTGAATTTCCATGGTCCAGCACCAGTCAGATCCCGAGGTTGCCAGACTAGAGAGGTATAACCTGTATAAGCTAGGCAAGTTCAGGCGCTCCATTCTCTCATGGTAGTTGAGGACAATCAAAATTTGGTTTAGCTCAACTTGCTGTGAAAGTGGGAAAAGCTGGAGATGAGGTGGCCTGTGAGATATCATGTTTCCATTGTTACATGTAATCGAAACTATATTAGTTGTGAAAAAATCATTACAATACTCTAGTGTGGCTTAGAAATAAAGAAAATATCATATAAAATTATGTAATAAGAAAAATGAAGAGCATGGGTTTGTATGTGTGGGCAGTGATGTCACAGCATACACACAGTGCAGCAGGCACGCACACATCTCTAAGTCAACTGAGTGAGTGCTCAGCTGGTTTGAGTGTGGAAGGAGCTGGGTTTTTTTTTACATAAAATATGTGCTTTTGTTTTATAATATGCTATTTATCAACTTTATTGTTTATCTTAAAAGATGTTGTAGTACAGTACATGTATGCAATTTGAATTTTTGTGTTAATAAATCCGTCGTTTAACTTTGAAACTATTCGTAATGAACTCATTTATTATTATTAGGGACTTCAGTCCTCGCTGTTTACTGCCATGACATTTAAACCTGTTGCTTGTCCTCCATGCTTCGATGTTATCCTCATTTAGTAATAATTTTTTTTTAATGTTAGATTTTTCAGGAATGCAACCCCACCTACTTTGCTGTCTCTCAGAATCGAGTATGATGAGTAGTAGTAAGTGATGGCTGTGCATGAGTTGATTTATGTGGTGAGGCAAGAGCACAGACTGCAACCACACACCATGGCTCTCCCTTGTCCTGGTCCAGTGGTGCAGGTAGTTGCAACGACCACACACCATGGCTCTCCCTTGTCCTGGTCCAGTGGTGCAGGTAGTTGCAACGAATGGGGAGGAGAGTTGCAATGGACTGCCAATAGCCTAGTTTGTTGGGTTTTGCCTTATTAGCCTGTCCATTTTGCATTGCCTTCATCTGCTGGTGTAGTCGTTGGGTTCCCTTGTTGGTTATCTCTTCCACCTACACTGCCATTGGGGTCTTACTGGAGTTCTGTAAGCATGTCTCCGCTTCAGATTTTTCGCTTAGGGTTTACACCCGTAGTCTTATACCTACCAAGGTTAATCTGCAAGGCAGTGGTTAGTAGGCACCAGGACATGTCCACATGCCTGTCGGTCTATGTGCTGTCCCTCTGGGGCCCACTGCTGCTCCGAGATCCCCTGCTGGTCTAGCCTGGCCCCACGAGGCACCTAGTTATCATGTGTTGCCACGAGGAGGCACAGCAGGAGTTTTGATGGTGAAGAGGCTGTGTACTGTTAGGGGAAGACTTACAGAAGGTTGCTTCTTTGTTCGTCATCAGAGGTAGCCAGCGGCGGCAGCTGAAAGCGAGAGGTAGCAAACAGTGCTTGCACCTTAACACTAATATAATGCTGTCACACTAGATGCATTACACCACCCTGTGTGCACACACACACACACACTTTTAAATGAGGGATACTTGCACAGTATCAGACTACAGGTACAATTTACTGACATAAATTGTAGATACTTTTAAATACAGTAATACCCCGATTTACGCGGTCAATTGAACCCGCGGAGTAGCACGTAAAACGAGAAACGCGTAAAGTGAACAACATAACATATGGGATTAATTGAAATAGAGACCGGGCCGACTCCCAAACTACACTTTTTCAGACACAATACCTACGTTGTAGTAAATATAACATCTTAATTTTATGATGGTATGCACACAATTAAGAGAAATATCAATAATATTAGGTTTTTAACACTTACATTAGTAGAAAAGATGGCTGGGCACACGGGGATGGGGGGTTGGTTCCGAGGCAGAGGGCAGATTATTGGCCCTCACCTGTATCACTTGTATCAATTATATCACTATCCACCACAGAGGCTTGCAGGGCCTCATTGTCAAACCCCTCAAAGTCCATATCCTCACTATCACTGACTTGGGCCGGCTGTGGTGGGTGGCGGGTGAAGAACTCAGTAATGTTTTGATGACTGGGCGACCTTGTGCGCACCCTGCCGCGCCGCATTCCGGTTCTGGCGGGGTACCACGTAAATGTGGAAACGCGTAAACGAGAACTGCGTAAACTAGGGTATTACTGTACAGTGGTCCCTCGGTTAACGAGCACAATCCGTTCTAGAAGGTTGCTCGTTAACCGAAACCATTGTTTCAATGGGTTTTTGGGTAATTGGTTCCAGCTCACCGAAAATTACCTAAATTCAACAAAAAAGGTAGAAAAGTACACTTACTTTGAGGTGTGTATGTAGAAGGCTCGTGGATGATGATGATGATGATGATGATGATGATGATGGGAATTAGAATGGGGGTGGAGGAGAAGGGAGAAGAGAAGGAATTGGGGTGGAAGAGAAGTCACCCCATGGCGCCATTTCACCCATAAAATTTTAGTTCTCTTGGTGTAATTCAAGATTATTTTCTTTAAATCAACACTGCACTGCATCATATATTGTCAATATGTAAAATAAATTTCAAAATGACCAACAATTTGCCTGTAAACACAGAAAAAAAGCGTTTAGTTGAAGAGTCTCTCAAGCAAGATGTTACCTCCACTGAAAAGACACAGATTGACGCCTGTATGCTGTGTTGGCAGGCTGGATGGCGTGCCACAAACTAGTGACCCTACCTTCAATTATGTTCAATAATTGTTTATATAACTAAAAAAAATTAATATTAAACTTTTAAAATTATTTAATAGTATAAACTTCTTGATATTTACTAAAAGGGTAAGGAATTTGAGCCCTAGAACCGATTACTGTATTGGCGGACTAATACTACAGCTGGTGGACCGCCAAATGCAAGCTAAAACATGTGGAGGTCGGCTCGTAAGATACTCGTTAATCGAGGGATTGCTCGTTAACCGAAGTTAAGAATCTTATGGAAGGTAACTCGTTAACCGAAATCTCGTTAACCGAGGCGCTCGTTAACCGAGGGACCACTGTATACTTTTCAAGCTAACTTAAAGATGCTTGACAAAGTATATGTGAAGCTCATAAAAGTGTTAGAATAATGTTTCATATAGTTGGCATTTTGAGTAGACTGATATAATAATATGATAAAGAACTCACTCAAGAGGCCTATGCTGTGCTTGTTTGTCTTACTACCTTATTATGCATTCCTTCAGGCTAAAGTTCTTCCAGCGGTGGGCGGACGAGAAAATCCCCGACGTATTCTGGTTTTCTGGGCTGTTCTTCCCCTACTCCTTCCTCACGGGCATACGTCAGAACTATGCCAGGAAACATGCCATACCCATCGACAGGATTGACTTCCTGTTTAAGGTTACTACTTTTATATCTAGTACCATATTATGTTTATAATGTAATTATTTGTATGGTAATATTACAAACAAACAAGTGCCTAGTTTGTAAGGTTCAAAGACTGGACAAGCACCACAATGAACATCTTGACACTTATTCTTCTTTATTAATTAACTTTCAATTATCACAGTAGCCATCATCAGTGCAATCTATAGAAAAGAATCAACAATGATAAGATAAAACAAGACACATGACTGTTATAATATTAAAAAAATTAAACTATTAAATCAAAAGACAAATTCAAATCATGACTGGAGACTAGTTGAAAAGTGTAGTGAAGTTAAATGCAGTTATAATAACAACAATTTTAAAAATACACAATGAAACTAAAACAAATATATTATGCTAAATTGGAAAAATCGCTTACTTATTTACCTAATGACCACCCACAAGAAGTAGCTATGACAAGGGAAGGAGGCCAGTGGCCTGTGTAGGATCCCTCCAGTGTTCATGTTAATTTTGTAGGGGGTTATTTGAAGCCCAGTACTGTTCATGATTCTACAGCTTGGGCTGGTAGACCATTCCAGGTCTCACCATCTGTGTGAAGAGGTATTTCCTGATATTTGTTCTGCAAGATAGTTTGACGAGTTTGTAATTATCTCCTTTCAGGATATTGTATATTTTAATGAAATCTTCCATATTGTGCCTTGTCTGAAAGGTCTACTGAACTTGGATAATCGAGATGATATACAGTAGTTCTGGAATCATCTTGATTGCTTGTGCTGGACCTTTTCTAGGGATGTTATATCTTTCTGGAGGTAGGGTTTCCATGCTTGTACGCAGTAATCCAGACTGGGACATACTTGAGAGTTGTATAGTTCAAGGAGAATTTTTCTATCATTACCTGTATATTCAAAGGTACATTTATAATTCCCAAATCTCAATTTGCTTTTCTCACTGCTGGAGTTACTTGTTGTGCCACCTTCATTGAATGACTTATCACAACACCAAGATCTTTCTCCTTATTGACAGAATCCAGGAAAGTGTGAAGGGACTTGCATTTTGTAATGTTAAAGACCATTTGCCAGTCTCAAGTCCATTTGAACAGCTCATGTGGGTAATTTTTGCCTTGTTGTGACATGTTCTTGACTTCTTTGACACCATTTGTCATTGGGTAAAGACAAAGGTGGCCAATCTAACTATCCAAAAAGGTGGAGGTAAAAATAAACTTACATTTGTTTTAGTGCAATATTACTCAGTGCCTACCAAGGGCAGACACATGATGACAATACTGCTCCTGCATGCCTACTACAGCTGTCACATGATGACAATACT